ATTAGGAAGTCAATTTAAATCCGATTTAGGCCGGATTTTTGGGAGATTGCTTATTTTATTTCGAATCACAATTTAGATTGATTTTCGGGATTTTGCTATTTTTGGCAAAATTCGAATAAAGACGATTTTTTTGCTATAACAGTCCGGCTTGTGGACTGCTTTTTGCATTGTTTGATTTTATAATATTTTATTAAACCCTATAGACTTTTTTCTCTGGTTTTTGGGCGAATTTTCTCTTGTGAATCGTCTGTCGGAACTAGCCTACAGGATAATCACTATTCTGTCTGGCGTCAGAACTACATCCATAAGAACTTACCCTAGGCCTATTGGGCGTAGGAGCCAACCTAAGGGAGTATCTTGGAGCCTGAGAGCCTACCTAATAGAGTACCCTAGGGCCTCAGAGCCTACCCAATGGAGTACCTGGGGGTCTTAGAGTCTACCCAAGGAAATGCCTTGGGGCCTCAAAGCCTACCCAAGGTCACCTTAGGTCTGTAACGAATTACCAACATAATGAGATCTAAACCTCTATACTTCAGAATCCTACCCAGACAATATCCCAATAATCAGTTCATACAATAAACAATAAATTCCATGATCCATAAATTAGGCATAATTATATTTTTCAGTGAAAACAACTAACCAAAGAGCATATATCATGTAGTCATAGTTCATAAACAGTAAATCAATAAATTAGTAATTCAGAATATCGAACAGATAAAAGACTCAGTAAATTAGTAACTTCACTAAATTACATTTCAGGACATATAAAACAATCATATAGCACATAGTGAACACACTAGAGGATACAATTATTTTCCAGGGGTACTTGGTAATTATCAAGCGGGGAAAACACGAAACTTTTGCAAACTGGTCAAACTTAGGAAATAAAATCTCTTTTTAAAGAGTTCAATAGCTAATAGATTAATCAATAATTAGGAAAGTGATACATTAGGATCATATAATATTCGGATATCCAAAAAATATTCAGGAACTGTTACATCAGAATTTCCTAAGATTTAGAATTTCTTGGGGTGATTCCATTAATCAGACTCATAAAGGCATTTTAGTCATTTGATTCCTGACAAAATTTGGTAATTCAGTTTAATAAAGGTAAGGAGTGATTTACAGTATTTCAGATTTCAAGAATCTTATCAGGCTTCCAATTTCGATCGAATTATACCGATCCCAACACATGTGATACTTACCAAGTATGCAGGTAGGGTAACTTCACGAATATTCATTTCTTATTAATGACTGCACTATAGAGTTGAATTGAACACCTTCAGAACCATCATTTGGCGAATCTTGAGAAGACAAATGATATTCAGGCTTATATTTATTTTATTCTCATGTTGTAACAGTAGCAAGCATGGTCGATATGCTTGGGATGCTTTTCAACCCTTAGGGGCGATACAACCTTTATTTATATTTTTATCAATATGTCCAAAATTTATCTAAGGGCATTCACTTATTCTAGACCATGAAGGTATTTAGGTCATTTTGATACTTGAAATTAATTTAACCATTTTAGGACTCAAGGGTATTTCATTCATTTTGAAACACAAGGGTAATTCGATTATCTCCAGGTTTTAGGGGTATTTTAGTCATTTTAACATTCAGGGTATTTTAGTCATTTCATTCAATTTGATCTTTCCATTTAATTCAAACTTGTCAATTGTTTCAGTCATTTCGAACAATCCTGACAATAAGAGTACTTTCGATAAGTTAGTCTTCGGGTGTTTACTCATAAATCTAAAATTTTCTGAACAAAATAGGAACTTAATAGTTAAATTAGTAATTTATCATATTAAATATAAACTCTCAGGGTACTTTCTCAATCGATGTCAATCCATGATATTTTTACCTCTCAAGGGTAATTTCATAATTTCTTATCTAAGTATTTTCGATGTTTCAATTTTTAACGAGAGTAATTAGAATTTAAGGGTTATGAAGTTAAAACCTTTACTAGTTAATTAGAGAACTTATAATTGTTCCTTATCAATCTTCTAATTTCTTATATGAGCTGTCATAATTTTTTCCAGTTACTTACTTTTTACCCCATTCAGATCGATTTTAAAAATAATTAACTCTACATATGAAACCAAACATATTTATCCATGCATTTAACAATACCAACATGTACTGTAAAGCATGTATAGGGTAGTAAAGTATTACCTTGTTTCTCGAGCTACACCGATCGAACATTTGAACTCTATTCGAATGCTCTCAAACTTGAACCCAACGTCCAATAATATCTCGGATACATATTAACAGAAATTACATCAGAAATGGAGCTTAATTGCAAAAAATGGATCGAATAGGGAGGTTACTGAAAAATAACTTACCGGTTCAAATTTGGTGAAACATACCTAAAAACAGACTCATAACGTCGAAAAACATCATGATAGGTGTTCTCAGAAAAAGTCAACGTCCGATCAGCAATAGTCAACAGACGATCAACGGTCAACAGTCAGTGAACGCATGGTCAACGATCAACACATGGTCGATGGCTCGGCTCGCTCGATGTGGCTCGGCTTAAATGGCACGGTCCAAACCGGTCCAACAGGTTCATACTTGTTCAGCTAGTCAACAAACTCTCTTGGTTGATAGACGACGTCCACGCACAGGGAGCGACAGGTGCAGTGGCTCTGGTGATTAGTAGGCGATGAAACTTTCCAGATCGGTAGATCGAGACCTCGGGAGTATGATGAATGAGTTATTTTGCAACGGAAAGCGACAGAATAAAAACGAAACAAACTCCCTCGAACGACCAAAGCGTCTCCTCTTCCACCATTCACGACGGTGACAACGAGAAGGTCCAATTGGTTGGGTTAGGTTCGCGAGGCACCAGGAAGCACGAGATAGTGGCGATGAGACGAGCGGGTGGCTAGATCGGCAACAATCGATGAATTTAAATGGTGTATGTTTGGTTTTTAGACGAAGCTTTGTATTGAATTTTATGGCGAACGAAATCGATGTTTGGTGTGAGGAGGCTCGGTTTTGGTCGTAGGGCACTGGCGGTGGAGGCGACACGACTAAATTTTTTTGATCTTCTTGTTTGGTTTTTCTTTAAATCAGAGAATTGGTTGTGAGTATCGACATAGTGAAATCGCCAGGCTTAATTCCAGAGACTGCTGATACTAGTTTACTGGGAATTGTATTGATCTGACCTATGGTTTTTGGCGTCCTGTGAGCTCATATTCTTCTTAATAAGTTCATGTTGATTATGGGATTGTTATATCGTGAACGAATTATAGCTTTAGAAGATAATTTTGTATGCACGCAACTCGAAAGACATCATGACAGGATAGTTTATTTGGAGCAGCTACTTGACCTTGTCATGATGCCTTTTGAGTTGCGAAAGAGACTAAGAGGTGAATGCACTGTTTGGGATTTCATTATATTTGATCATTTGTTGGATAATCTTTAACCACAAGGATTAAACGAAAAAATTATTATATGTCATTTATACAAAATAATTCCAGCTTTGTTGGTGACTTTCAACAATGATACTTAGTTCATCTTAGTAGTATTTGTCAACTCTGCATTTCTAACCCCATTTTTTTCTCACAAGCATTTCATCGAACGTCTATGCTTCACCTGAGATGACCTATATCTAACATTACACCTTGAATCGTTGATGGTCCCGATATTCCCTTGATCGGATCTTCTCTCAATGGACCTTTATTCAAGTCAACACCTCCACATAATTCAAAGTTAGAATATAATTTTCCATGCATCCCCGACTGAAAAGTTACGCTGGAAATGGGAAAAAAGAAGCGAAAAAGGAAATTCAAGATCGAAAAGGAATTTAGGGTTCAGAATAAAATTAAGGACTTTGTTGCAAGTTTTAAAAGTTGGGGGACCTAAATGCAAGTGATAGTAAAGTTCAGTGACCATATTGCAAACGTATTAATGGCAGGGACCATATTGCAAACAAACTAAATGTTCGAGGATTGTATTACAAGTTTTAAAAGTTGAGGGACCTAAATGAAAGCTTTGTAAAAGTTCAGTAACCATTACTATACTTTACCCCATAATATTATTATATCACACTAATCAATGTTTGCATGGGAGTTAACAATTTTTATAATAATTTTATTAACAAAGAATATGATCATATATTGATAGTTTAAGAATGAAATTGAACAATTTAAAAGTTTGGGGATCAATTTAGAATAAGAGTCATTGTTTAAAAATAAAATTAGAATACTTAACAGTTTAGAGGTCAATTTAGAATGAGAGACTAAAACGTTTAAAAAATTAAGGATTAATATAAGATGGGAGTTATTATTTAATTACATGTGATACAATTAAATAGGGATGAAAATGGAACTCGAACACGATGGGTTATGAACCAATTTGATTTAATAGGGTTGTTTCTTAAAAAACAATCGAGTTCGTGTCGGATTTTTTAGATGATAAGTTCGGGTTGGATTGAGTTTGTATTTAGGGTGAAAAATACTCGACCCGACCCAAAAAATAATATAATTATACCTTATATATTTAAGGATAATTGTAAAAATATCCCTTTTTTATATTTTTTTCAATTAAGTCCCTATTTTATTGAATAAAATTAATAATTTTATATTATTTCGGGTTGGATCGAGTCGGAGTCGAGTTTTATCTCAAAAAGTCAAGTCGTATTTCGATCGAGTGGAATTATTTCAAACTCGGATCAGATCGAATTTCGGATAGAAAATATAAAATTTTTTGGTCGGATCGGATTAGCTGAAAACCCGACCAACCCGATCCATGCACATCCTACAATTAACTCAATTATAGAAAGAGTAGAAACGTCATTATTTGGGCTAATGATGAAGCTGCCAACATTTGTCCACCATACTTTTTACTAATCAAATCCGCTAATGGAGCTCACTAATTTTCTTAACATTGGAAAAATTTATTCCGTGTCATCTACGACTCCTCCAATCCCTCTATACATATCTCTCTTGAATGAATGTGTAAACCCTTTTTAACTTAAGCCATCTCTTCTGTTACTCAACACTCCTTTTCATCTTATTCTTTTCTGTGTTTGTTTATTTATATAAGCAGTAGGTTTGATATTTACATAAATACATGGAGAATCATCGTCAAGCTTTGAACAATGGGAAATTTGTTGGGTCTGAAAGTGATTATCAGTTGAAATCATCAGCTGGTTTCGATAAAAAGAAGTCTAGAAAGCCTAGGCATGCTTTTCAAACAAGGAGTCATGTTGATATACTTGACGATGGATATCGTTGGAGGAAATATGGCCAAAAAGCTGTTAAGAACAACAAATTCCCAAGGTTCGTTTCACTCTAATTATATTTTCTTTCTTTTTTATTAAAAGGGCGATTTTTATCTTGATTCATATCATATTTTGGAGAAAGTAATGTTTTCTACATTGCAGACCCACTATCATTATCCATATATCAGATCCTTTCACAGTAAAGTAATTAACTGTTAAAAGAGTTGGTGAAGCTGAAGTTGCTTTAAAAGTTTTGAAGAATTCTAATATCCATGGATGACCTATTCGTTTCATGTATAAACACAGAAGCAAATCCCATAAATTATGATTTTCTATAATTCTTTGTCTAGGGTTTTCTTTCTTCTCTCGTAGTTCTTCTTAACAGATTATGATTTATCTGAAACATTATTAAATCACATAATGTTTGCAATGTGTACAGAAGCTACTATCGGTGCACAAATAAAGGATGCGTTGTAAAGAAGCAAGTCCAACGTTCAACCACAGATGAAAGTATGGTAGTGACGACCTACGAGGGAATGCACAATCATCCTATAGATAAGGCTACTGACAATTTTGAACATATCTTGAACCAGATGCATATTTATACACCCTTTTTCCATGTTTAACTATTTATCATCGCCACGAACCAAGCGACTTTGGTAGTAAATGAAATGTTGTTATTCCTTGAGGTCCCGGATTCAAACTTGTATCTCCTTCCTTTATAAATATACCCTAAAATACATATTCATCTTCAATTTTCTACGTCTCTTAATAAAGCTGTATTATTTCTTTGTATGTTAACTCTTTTCTTTTCTTTGTGGCACTGAATAATTATTTATGAATATAGGAGAGAAATTAAACATGAAACCTCATTTTTGGTGGTATCTAATGGGTAGGATGCTTTGAATAATGTGTGTTTGAAATGTTAAGGAATTAATCATATTCTCTTAAAGCAATTTTTCTTATCATTTTGATTTCTGTTTCTTTTTCATTTGCAGTTTGACTTTTGTTTTTCCTTAAATTTCGTGAAAACAATAAAATATAAAAATTAATATATAATCCAAACTAAGCACAATTACTTAAATATAAATATTTCTAGTTCCTTTGCAGTACCTTCTTTACCATTCCAAAAATAAAAATAAAAGCACAAAGTTGGGTAACATTCTAATAAAAGTTATAATCTAATACAGGGCAATGAGCAACTTCAGTATTCAATAAGAGAAGAGTCTAGTAATACAAATCTCCAAATGCTAATCAAACTAATAGTTATAATCTATAAAAGTTGTTAAAAGTAATCTCATGCTGAATCAGATTGAGGATATTTGAGTAATGAGTTTAGCACCATGTCGGCATTGTCCTATATATTTTTATATTGGTATAATGTTAAAAAATATCTCTAACAATTGACTAAATAATCATTGACTAAATAATCATTGTAACTTTTATTATTTTGTTTCGGAGTATCATGACCCTAATGTTTCATTTTAGGATATTGTTCTTTTTTACAAGGATCGATCCTTTACAAAACATATGCAAAGTTTATTAAGAAATCGTTCCCCTGAGACAAAGGATTGATCTCTTGTCTAAAGGGATTGATCCCTTAATAAACTTTGCATTTTATTTTACGAATAATCGATCCTCGTGAAAAGGTGTCGATTCCTTGTGTTTTGACTCTAGTAAAGATGATCTCAAATTCGTCAATGGGTAACTCCATTAAGTTTGCTGGGAATTTGATCCCTTGGATTCTTAAGGGATGTTTTTTACTCACACGACTTATTCTGGAACTCTGTCCCAACGGGTTGGTTGCTAAAAATTCACTAGATGTTGGTTCCAACACAATCCCTCTCTTTCGCATAAGGGTGGCATAAAACAGGGTGATCGAATGTTGTAAAGGTACTTGTAATGATCTCAAGGTCATCACGATCTTTATTGGTGTAGATGTTGTAAATCTTCGTCAAGGTCCAAAATTCAGGGTAGAAGCGACCTTAGACATCCCTCGATCTTTTTCTCTTACTCCTACAGAAGAATTTCTCTCGAATCTCCTACCCCTATGAGAGAGTGGTAGATCTAGCAGATGCAGGTCTATGATCAAATACTTCAGGGCAATCTCAAATGTAATTAGTTTTGGAGTCACACTTGAAGCAAGCTCCATGAATAAGAAAGCACACTACATCACATGGAGTTATAGTGGCTCTCCTCGAACCTCTAGAATTTTCTTTAGAAGTATCTTAATGTCTTGGTCTTCTAGATTCTGACCTTTTTCTTCCCGATGATGCAAAGGTTTCCATATTCTGAAAGTGATAGCCTCTACCTCGCTTAACATGTGAAGCATAATAAGATGATCCAAATTCTTCTTCAGACTTTCCACGCTCCTAGAAAAATTATTTTCCCATGGACTCTTTGCATGGCTTTTGCTTGGTTCATAACCTCTTGGAATACACTTAAATTCATGGTGATCAACATTTTCTTTGTCCTTGGACTCAATCCATTGATAAACCAATCATATCTCACCTTTTCAGTCGAGATCAATTCGGATGTAAACTGGCTCACGCCGTTAAATTCATACTCATATTCATAGACCAACTTGCTAACTTGTTTGAGATTTAAAAATTCTTGCTTTATTTATGGAGAGACACATGCATGGTGGTATTGGTTCGCCAAATCCTTGCTTGCTCCTTAAATAGGGAAATCATTCCATCTAACCTTTCTGCATCTCCACTACATATTCTCTCAAGTAGAATATTGATATCGTTTAATCAATGGTCCGCAATCACTAGGTCACCTTCGTTATCCCCCTAAAGTACATCGCTCCAAGGTTATTAAACTTCTTAACCATATATGATCGTGGAGAAGGTCCTACAACTTAGGGGTTGAATTTATTCAATATCGTATTTAGTGTTTAGAAGAACCCTTGGTCTTGCACTAGCATCAACAGGGGAACAAGTTCATTTGCCCCATCTTACCCTCGGAGTGGGTTGTGATTCACGTCAGTACTCCCACTATGGCCCTCACTTTGGACCACTTTGTCTGTTACTTGATGTGTGTCACACCCCAATTTAGGGGCTAGATTTTAATAATTTTAAGTATCGAATTAAAGCCGTAACAAGGGAAAAGTTGAGGACCAAATTGTAAATTTTTAAAATTTGTAGCTCAGGTTTAGAACTTATGGGAGGTTCAAGGACTTAACCCTGAATTAGACCATTTTTTCTGGTCAGTGAAAAATAAACTCCAATCAAAACCCCTGGGGTTAAATCCCTAAAACCCAAAATCCCCAAATTTCCCTAACCCCATCCTCGTCGGCCCCTTCTCGATTCCCTGCCGTTGAGCCACCATAGCACGCATCGTTCCCACCGCTCGACTCTCCATCATCCAGCGATCAAAGCCCAACCGTCAATTCGGCGAAATTCATCGCCGTTCATCGCAAATCGATGCTTGAGTGTGCGTTGAGGAGAACAACCCACCTCCACGTTTTTTTTAGATTCTGGCCTCTGATGGCTGTCTCGCCTCACTGTTGTCACCAATGTGTTCCACGACCTGTTCTGCTCAAAACCCGACCAATGGGTCGCATCAATGTCACCAGTTTTGCTGATTGCCGGTGTGGGTAAGTCCTGGATGTTTACGGTTATTTTGGCTTGGATTGGTTGATGTTTTGGGTTAATTTTGGATGGAAATGGTGTGTAGATGCTAGAGGAGTAATCGGTCGATCACCCTGGGCCAGTCACTGCTCCCACACGTCGCCGCGTGCGCGTGGGACTCCTCTTTAGCCATGGCTTCTTCTAGAAATGGTCTAGGTGGACCGAATAACCCCGAACCATTATGAACCAGGTCTATTTGACATGATTAAGTCAACCCGAACTGAGTCAACTCATTCAAGTCAACTCATTCGAGTCAACTCGTCTGAGTCAACCTGTTGACTTTGACAAAAAAAAAGTCATATTTTTTGAAAAGTCATATTTTACGTTTTTCGACGTTTGAGTCCGAATTTGAAGTTCGTTTTGCCAAATTCCCACTTGGTAAGTCGTTTTTCAGTGTTTTATCTTCGAATTCAAATCGGTTTTTCGATTAAGTTCAGTTTCTGATCTAAATTTGTTTGCTATGTATTCGATAAATTATTAGACGTTAAATTCATGTTCAAGAGTGATCAAATTGAGTTTAAATGTTTGATCGGTGGAGCATGAAAATCGAGATAATACTTTACTACCTCTTTGCATGCTTTATGAAACATGTTAATAATGGATAAATGCATGGATATATATGATTGGACTATTATGCATGTTTGATTATGGATGGACTCGAACCCAATACGATTTAAGTGATAAATTGGTTAAGACTCGATTAAATTACATAAAAGAATTAGAAGACTGTTAAGAAATGATTTCAAGTACATTGATTAATCTGAAGAGCCAATAACCTCAGAATAATTAAGGGTCTATTTGTTTAGTTGTAATTGGTTTTCTGGAAATTGAATTATGGAAAATGAATTACATTTCTGGAAAACATTTTCCGAAAATGTTTTCCGTAAAATGAATTACATTTTTTTGAAAAACATTTCTGGAAAACGTTTTACGATGTTTGGAAGATGATGTTTAAATCTTTTTTCCACTAGTTGGTGAGTTTTTTTTAAAATTATTTATTATAAATATTAAATACAATAAATAATATTATTTATCATAAAACTTAATATTATTATTTTTAAAATATTAAAATAATTTATTTATAATTTTATTAATAAAAATATTAATATTGGTATATTTTATTGAAATAAAAATATTATAAATATTATAAATTATTTATTAAAGTAATAGTGTTATATTATATTTTAAAAATATTAATTAGTATATTTTTAATTTTTATTTTTTATATTAATATGAAATATATAAATAATATTATTCATTATTAATAATTTAATAATATTATTTCTATGAAATTAATAAATAATATAAATTTATTTAATAATTTATTATATATTTATTAAAATAAAAGTATAATATCTTATATTATTATAATATAATAGATTATTTTATTATAATATTAAAAATATAATATTATATTATTAGAAATATTAATAAATATATTTTAAATATTTTAATAATTAATATTTTGATTAAAATAATATTAAAATATTTTATTAATATTAAATTCATAAAATAAAATTATTTTGAGTATTTATTCTTTGAAGTGAAAAGTTCGAAAATGACTTATAGAAAATCAGACCGTAAGTTATTTTCAGAAAACACAAAGCAAATTCTGTTGACCAGGAAAATGTTTTACGTTGACCAACCAGTTTTCCATCAAAACATTTTCCGGAAAATATTTTCGGAAAACATTTTACGTGAAACAAACACGTGATTTCGGCGGTAATTGGTTTTCCCCCAGACAAACACACTAAATTCTAATTATTTTCATTAAAAGGTTTAATATCGGAATCACCTGATTATAAAATTATAAAATTGCCCCTACTGGAAAAATGGCCTAGACAGACTCAAAAGCGAAAGTACCTTGAGAATTCGTATTTTTTTAATTCGATAAATCACAATTTCATCTGTTAAATTAACGATCTGCTCGAATAATCACTGATAATCGAATTCCTACATTTGAGAAGGTACAATACCTATAATTGTTGATTATTAGCAAGCACCTAAAGACTAAAATATTGGAAGTAGTATTCTTGTTTTAATTAGTCAGAAAAATTGAATTAA